TGCCTGGAATCTTCCTATTGTTAATGTAACTATAATGGCCGACTTCGATGTGGGCGGAGTTGGATATATATACTTGACTAATGTTAGCATGTTATTATTAGCCATTAGCCGAAGCTAGCAGTTCAAGGCTAACAACTTGTTAATGACCATAAACAACGTAAATAAATACATAAATAAATAAAGAGAAGGGGGGGGTATCGATACTTTTGAAAGTGAGTATCGTATCCGGATACAACATTTTAGTATCGATACTTTTGACAACCCTAACAGGACCAGATCAGAGCCTAGAGACTCTTCATTCTAGTTCAGTGTTTTTCAACCTTTTTTGAGCCAAGGTAAATTTTTTTCATTGAAAAAATCTCGAGGCACACCATCACGAGGCACAGGTAAATCACACGCAAAAGGAAAAGAAGCAGAAGAAAGTAAAAATACCCGATAACGGCAAGGAGGATGAGGGGGTCAGCACAGAAATGCAACAGGACCTAGGGTTGTCACGATACTAAAATGTTCAACCCGATACCGATACTCAGGAAAATACTCGATACCATTTTCGATACCACAAGGATTAAAAAAAGACCCCAAAATTTAAATGAATTTTGACAGGTTAGTGTCTTTCACTTCAAACTTACCTGTTACTGATGTTATCGTGACTGGTGGCCTGCCTTTATAACCCTAACCCTAACACTGACCCTCCACCCTACATAATTGTGAGAAATAAATATTTTTGGGTTAAACTTGTTTGGACTTATTGTACAAACCTATTTAACATACACTATTTTAACATAATAATATGCATAGAGTTTAATTAAGTGTTTGAAAGATTAATTTCACAATTTTTACATTAATCTCTATATTGCCATGAGGCAATTAGGATTTTCTTGCCTGGAATCTTCCTATTGTTAATGTAACTATAATGGCCGACTTCAATGTGGGCGGAGTCGGATATGTACTTGATTAATGGTAGCACGTTATTATTAGCCATTAGCCGAAGCTAGCAGTTCAAGGCTAACAACTTGTTAATGACCATAAACAACTT